GCTGTTTTGGGGGGGGGGCGGGGTTGGTGCTTTAGGGACTCTCGACTGAGTCACCTTTAGAGAAGACTTGATGTTGGTGACATGTTTTTACGGGTTTGTCTGGAGGGTTTTGCCGCGTCGACACATTTGAGCTCAGCTGCCGTCTGTTCTGCTGTGACGGCCATCGTCAAAACAGGAAAATATGCATTACACATAATTCACTCTGTGTCATTCGAGTTTACATTTCGAATGAAAATTTGGCTTGAAGTGATTAGGACGCTGACTGAAGCAGAAGTCGAAAGAAGATTACTTTGTTTATTTAAGTTCTTGACACAGCGTGTGACACTTTCCTGCTGAGCATTGTCTCTACATTGGCATAAATGTACCGTTAAAATTGCTAAAAAGCAATACTTTATCAGTTTCTGGAACGGCTAATTTTCAACTATTTTGGTATCAGCATTTTGAAAGAAATTGAAAATTGAATAAAGCTATTGGGCCAATGTGTGTCAACCGCTTTGGAAAGTTCGATTCAGAATGAGGACTGTGTAAACGACCGTGTCGATTCGTCCTTACTTCAAGCCTCATCTTCACCTGATGCTGCTGCAAAACCGGCACGGAGCTGGAAAGAATTATCATCGCTAGAGAGCACGAGATTAGTCGCTAATGCAATCATGTGTCAGGTGTAAAGAATGGAGGAGAAGAAGTCTCGACACCGAGATCGCGTAATATAGCCATCGTGTGTATGTGTATCGCCAGTTTACTCCAGACTGACGCGAGTTACTAAAGCATTGCCTGTCTTCTCTCAAGCGATATTTCGCTTGTATGTTTGTGCGGTAGTAAGCGAGATTGTGAGTAAAAAAACGTAGTCTATAAGCCCTCCTTGAGTGAGTTTCTATCCAAAAAGGGCGAGGTTTATGCCGTTCTCTCCTCTCACTCGTCTCCGTACTCCTGTTCATGTCTGGAATGGCCTACATTGTGAAGGTGCAATGACGTTAGTGCACAACAGCCCTCTCGGCACAGGATCGTTTGTGCATAGTCACATTCACACAAACGCAGTCTCTGTACCCACTCTTGTTGTGCTCCTCAATCACCAGTCTGCATGAGTGGGTGGGTGGGCGGTGAAAAAGGGCGGAGCAATCTTTTCTTTGGCTTTCCAACCCGAAAACGGCCGGCTCCCGCAGGACCAATCAGAAATTTACTTCCACCTCCAACCCCCTTTGGGCCGAAGGGGAACGGACACGGCCGGGTGGTAACTGTCGCATTGCAACTCTTTTTCGTCGTCACCTCTGCTCTGCTTCACACCGTCTCTAACCCATGCACACGCAGGCATAAATGCGCAGTCCCACGGGAACACAAACACTGCGCGCGACAACGCGATTCTATCATTTGCCTTCTGCCCGTGTCGCTGCCTTTGCCTTCTTCAGTTCGACACAAATTTCCAAAATGGGGCAGACATATCTTCTACATACTAATGTGTTGTCGTTGGCTGTGTCTATTCGCTTCTGTATGTGTGTGTCTGGGCATATGAGAAATGCAAATCATGTCTGTGCACACATCACGGTGAGAATTGAACAGTCTTGTTCGCATGTCTCTTAGGCCTTAGTTCCATTGCCTTGTTTCCAGAATGTTCTCGATTTTCTACAGTCCACTTGTTAATAGAAATTTCCTTATAAGTCACCTCCAGATTGAGAAGAGTGAAAAGGAGCAGAAAGCACATGATGTCATTGCAAATTGTCTAGTCGGGAAGATATGAAGGCCAAGATGTTGTAGCCTTTGGTATGGTCGCAGTCTCCTTTCGATTTATGAAAGTGGGTTGACCTCGTTGTTGCAATTTGGTCTTGTTGTCAGGGCGACTTGACAGGACGCACCTAGACCAAAGTCGTCTGCCATGGTAGTTGTCATGATTACCAGCATCAGACAGTGGATTTGGTACATTCTCAAACGCTTCGCCGGCATCATAGTCGGCATCATCAGTGAGTGCTGCCATTCTCCGCACCAAGCTACGAACTCGTCAAAGTGACGAGTGAACTCAATCCTTCCACCAACATTCTGCCAAAAACAGTACACTATCACTCCTCTTTCTGCAATTGTCTATCTATCTAGTCTTGTTTACATTCCACTGGTCAAAATGTGTACCCTTTTGTGGCAAATCTAGTATGGCCTCATCACACCTGATAGTCATCCCGACCAATCTTTTTCGATCATATGATCCGACTCGGGCCTCCAATCCGAATGCCCTCATTGTCTCGTAGATCCGTTCCTTAACTTTCTGGTTGACCGATTTTACTCGCTTCCAGTCCCTGTGGGCATTTTACTCCAGGCCCTATTCCTCAAGGCCCTAGAAGAACGTACACTGCCGCTTCACTGAACCGAGCACCTAAGCTCTGGTTGCCATGCTTGCAGATATCAGGCCTTCTCTTCACGGGTCCTTTACTCCATTAAACCCATGTTATCTGAGCAAACTGTGAACGCCTATCTCTGGACGCATGCGACCAAGTGAAATCTGGTGGTAAGCTGAAACCTTATGGCCATTTGCTTGAGGGAAATTTAATTCTAGTCTCAGACAATTTGACGTGAATAATGTCATTAGAAATATTTTGCGTTCATAAGTAGGCTTTCGAGACTACCAGTAGAACCATCATATGAAATGTGTTCATCCTTTTTCGTTAAGGGTGATAAGGCGACTAGTAGTTAAATTTTCCCACAAGTATACGAGTAGGCATGACTTTTCCATTTGATTTTGCACAAACTTGTTTTCCCAAAAGGTATCCTCTTCCAAGGTGAATTGCGGCAGTCGACACATAAACCACTACGCCAGATTGCCCTTGGGTTACAGGAAAGATGTACATTTTAAGGAATGCCAAGTGAAATAGGATAAGCATATCTCATGGAAGTATTTTATTCATAAAGCCGCTGTTTGAACGCCTAGAGAGACTTGAAAGTGAAATTTGGTTTTGTTGTCATGGAGGCTTAGTTCAATGCAACTTTTCCAAAGTCTTCTGCCATAGTTTGGTGCGGAGAACGACAAGACTCGCTGATGATGCCGACGAAACGTCTGAGAATATGGCAAGTTTGCGCTCTGATGCTGAGGACTTCGGACAAGGTACGTCCATAATTGTTGAGCTTACTTCCATTTCGAGTGCAAGTGTTGGGTGAAGAGATTCGAAGGTCGGTTCCACCAGAAGATGACGGTGGATTCCTCTTCACCAGCTGTCGATTGACTTTACTA